ATTTTGCCATCTTTATGATCAACTAGTGTAGATTATTTTTGTCAAGATATGTATTTGCAACAGCCATATCCCATTTATAACAGCTGATGCTAAGGTGATTACTCCACCTAAACAGTTTAATAAAGAGGGTTTGAAGGGTCTGAATAAATCTTCCAGAATAATATACTGAAAAGTTGTCAAACATATGAGTCCCCTATGCTCATGGGGTTTCAAGGCAACTGTCCCCATGGTCCTGATTGATGTTTCACCATTACTTTAATGCTGTTTGTTTAGATAAACCAATTAGAGTTGAGTGAACCAAAGTTCGGGTTTGTACCGAACATTAGGTTTTTTTGGACCCCGGACCCGAACACGGACATATCACTGTATGTTCGGGTTGGAGTTCAGTGTTCGGCGATTTAATGGCGCGTTTTCAAAGGCTGCATGGCAACCAATCAACAAGCGTTTGACTCGTGCGCCCTTAGAAGCCATCACAGCCAGGCCGGGACTGGCCATCGGGCATACCGGGCAAATGCCTGGTGGGCCGCTGGCCCCGCTGTATGCCTTCGTGGGCCGGTGGGGAGATCAAAGAGGTACTGACATGCGGCCGCCAGGTGGGGAGTGAGGGAGGGAGGAGAGGACCCGGTGGAGCTCTAGCCAGGTCTGAGCATTGCTGCGGTAACCACTGGACCACCAGAGAAGGCAGCACACTCCATTGCAGCATGGCTCCTCCCCTCCATTTCAGAACGGCTCCAATTGCCCCCCCCCTCCCTCCCAGGCTAAAGGTAAGAAGAGAGGGGGTCAATATAACCTTTTTTTAAAAATTATTAATAAAAAATATATTAAAATAAATTCACCCCCAGACACACACAGCACCCTCAGACACACAGAGCACCTAGATACACACAGCACCCCCAGACACACACAGCACCCCCAGACACACACAGCACCCTCAGACACACACTGTACCCAGACACACACAGCACCTCCAGACACACACACAGCACCCTCAGACACACACAGCACCCTGAGACACACACAGCACCCTCACACACAAACAGCACCCCTCAGACACACACACAGCACCCAGACACACACAGCACCCCAAGACACACACAGCACCCAGACACACACAGCATCCAGACACACACAGCACCCCCAGACACACACAGCACCCAGACACACACAGCACCCCTAGACACACACAGCACCCAGACACACACAGCACCCTCAGACACACACAGCACCCTGACACACACAGCACCCTCAGACACACACAGAACCCAGACACACTAGATCTCCTACACACACACTGCACCACCTACACACACACTACATTCCTTGTAAGCAAAGACATACAACATTCTCTAAACACACCCTCTCTACAACCTCTACACACACTACATCACCTATACACACACACTACAGCCGTTATGCACACACTCGCTACATCCCCTATAACACTATGCCCCTATACACACACACTCTACAGCCCCTAGCCACACATATTACACCACAAACACAAATGAAATTGACCTATACACAATACCACACCACACTCTACACACACGCAATCCCACAAGCAGGCTCCAAACACATGCACTATACGCTTTCCTGGCCCTTTTGTCCTCTGGTATTCCACTTATGGAGACACCAGAGACAAGTTAAAAGCAAACACAGTGTAAGCATGTTATTAAATTTGCTTGTGCTGCGTAAAACAAATACAGGGCCTTTTTCTAATGCTAGAGCTCTTCAGCAGGGCTCTGCGCATTGAACCAACATGCTCACTTTGAGAGGGGGCGTGTTTTTCATTAGTGATGACAAAACACACGCTTTCTGGCCCCGCCCCCTTCTTAGGGGCCACTCTGATAGAAAAATGCCCGGGCCTAATTTTTTTCCCAATCCGGCCCTGATCACAGTCATGCCTACTAATGGCATGGCTGTGATTGGCCATATATATAAGATTGGCTTATATATAAGCTGGAGTCACGTAGCGCCGCACGCACATGCGTTCTGATTAGTGTAGGGAGAGGATGCTGCCGCTGATAGGGACAGCTTAGGAAAGAATTCTGCAAACTAGTACATTAGTGGGGTGCACTTCATATCTGAGAGTCAAATAGAAGCTTCAAATACAGCGGTTACATCAGAGTTTTAAAAAGTAATTTTTTTTTGGTGCTTAATAGTATATTAGTGGGGTAGTACATTAGTGGGGTGCACTTCATATCTGAGAGTCATAGAGTCATCAAATACTGCTGTTACATTGCAGTTTTAAAACTTAAAATTTTTTGGGCGCTAAAAAGTACATTAGTGGGGTGCACTTCATATCTGAGAGTCAAATAGAAGCGTCAAATACTGCTGTCACATTGCAGTTTTAAAACTTAACATTTTTTGGGGTCCTAAACTGCTAAATAGTATTTTACATAGTTACATAGTTACATAGCTGAAAAGAGACTTGCGTCCATCAAGTTCAGCCTTCCTTACAAATGTTGTTGCTGTTGATCCAAAAGAAGGCAAAAAACCTGAAGCGCTTCCAATTTTGCCACAAACTAGAAAACAATTCCTTCTTGATCCCAAAATAGCAGTCAGATGTCTCCTTGGATCAAGCAGCTATTACCCCACTAATTAGAAATTATATCCCTGTATGTTATGTTTTTGTAAGTATTTATCCTATTTCAGTTTAAACATCTGTATGGACCCTGACAAAACCACCTCTTCAGGCAGAGAATTCCATATCCTTATTGTTCTTACTGTAAAAAAACCTTTTCTTTGCCTTAGATGAAATCTCCTTTCTTGCAGCCTAAATGTGTGACCTCGTGTCCTATTTATAGCCCTGTTTATGAATAGATTTCCAGATAAAGGTTTGTACTGACCCCGAACATATTTGTATCATATCCACTCTCAGGCTCCGTTTTTCCAAACTAAACAGATTTAATTTTTTTAACCTTTCTTCATATCTAAAATGCTCCATTCCTTTTATCAATTTTGTAGCTCACCTCTGGACCCTCTCCAGTGCCATGATATCCTTCTTTAGAACAGGCGCCCAAAATTGCACAGCATATTCAAGGTGTGGTCTTACCAGCTATTTATAAAGAGGCAAAATTATATTTTCATCCCGAGAATTTATGCCCCCATTTATACATGACAAAATCTTACTGGCCTTAGCAACTGCAGATTGACATTGCATATTGCTGCCTAATTTGTTGTCTATAACAATTCCCAAATCCTTCTTGTGTGTGGTTATCCCTAATTCACTACCATTTAGTGTGTAAGTTGCTTGTGCATTCTTAACCCCGAAGTGCATAACTTTGCATTTCTCTATGTTAAATTTAATCTTCCATTTTAGTGCCCAGTCCTCCAATCTATCCAAATCTCTCTACAGCAAAGCAATATCCTGCTCACATTTTATTACTTTACAAAGTTTTGTGTTATCTGCAAACACTGATACATGGCTTTCAATGCCTATTTCAAGATCATTTATAAATATGTTAAATAGAAGTGGTCCCAAAACAGAACCCTGAGGGACAACACTTACCACTTTTGTCCAGCCTGAAAATTTACCTTTAATTACAACTCGCTGTACTCTATCCTTAAGCCAATGTTCTACCCAAGAACAAGAATATTCATCTAGACCAATTTCTTTAGGTTTGAAGACTAACCTATTGTGAGGAACCGTATCAAATGCCTTGGCAAAATCCAAGTAGATCACATCCACTGCAACACCCTGATCTATACTTCTACTTACTTCTTCATAGAATGCAATTAGGTTAGTTTGACATGACCTATGTTTCATAAAACCATGCTGATTATTGCTAATAAAGTTCTTCCCAATGAATTCCTGAATATTATCCCTTAATAGCCCTTCAAATATTTTCCCAGTTACAGAAGTTAAGCTCACAGGTCTATAATTTCCAGGCAAGGATTTTGAACCCTTTTTAAATATAGGAACAACATCTGCTTTCCTCCAATCCTCTGGTACACTTCATATCTGAGAGTCAAATCGAAGCGTCTTATAGTGTGCTTACAGTGCAGTGGTAAACATTCTTATTTTCTGGGTGCTAATCTGCTAAATAGTACATTTTGGAGCCTGTTCTTCATATCTGAGAGTCAAATCGAAGCGTCTAATAGTGTGCTTACTGAGCACTTGTAAACATTCTAATTGTTTTGCTGCTAATCTGCTAAATAGTACATTTTGGGGCCTGCGGTGCACTTCATATCTGAAAGTCAAATAGAAGCGTCTAATGCTGCGCTTACTGCGCAGTGGTAAACATTCTAATTATTTTGCTGCTAAACTGCTAAATAGTACATTTTGGGGCCTGTTCTTCATATCTGAGAGTCAAAAAGAAGCGTCTAATAGTGTGCTTACTGCACACTTGTAAACATTCTAATTGTTTTGCTGCTAATCTGCTAAATAGTATATTTTGGAGCCTGTTTTTCATATCGGAGAGTAAATCGAAGCGTCTAATATTGTGCTTACTGTGCACTTGTAAACATTCTAATTGTTTTGCTGCTAATCTGCTGCTTACATTGGAGTTTTAAAAAGTCAATTTTTTTTTATTTTTTTTTGGCGCTAAATAGTATATTTGGGGTGGTCACTTCATATCTGAGAGTCAAATCGAAGCGTAACTTTGATTCGAATTTACTACATCGGTCACTTGTAATATTGTTAGGGTTCGCACCAGATTTAACGATCCATTTGTAGTTTCACAGTTAGGTGGGCAGTCCGGTGACCAGGACCCAGACACTGTCAGGATGTGACATTCACTGTAGCGGCTGTGCGCGCTTTTGGCTTTGTCAACCTGCTGCTGCTCACCTCTCTACGCTGAAGCATAACTTCGGCCTTCCCACTCACCACCTCATGAGACTTTGCGAGCAGCAGCAGGCGATAGTGGAGTTTCAGCTGCAGCACGCACGGGTCAGTGGCTCTGCACCAGACTTCCCTCCAATTGATCAGAGTTAAAGGATTTAAAGTGGACTCATTACAATTACAGGGCCTCTAAAGAGTCCTGTATTGTTATTTGTCGTCACTACCTTCCCGCGTCGGGAGTGGGTCATTTGCGCGCCTGCTGCCTTCCTTGCATGTGGTAGCCGTTTCTCAGGGTCCCTGTACGGAATGGAACCCTGATTCCCCATTACCCATGGTCACCATGGTAGTCGCAGAAACTGGCATTGAAAGTTGATATGGATGATATCCGCATGCAAAGTCGCCGCCACGGGGATGTGCGATTTGCCCGAGGTTCTCTAGAGTCAACAAAGTTCCTGCGCAACTATAATGTCAACAGCTACTCTGCAGAACAGAGTTGTCTTTTTTTATATGTCCCAATATTTTGGGGGCTACCCCGATTCATATATATATATATATATATATATATATATATATATATATAAAATACACAAGATCCAGCGCACTCACCTATCCACTAAACAGCAACTTCAATGTTGAAAATTTTTATTTGTTTTTATAAAAAAAAAATGAGGCACCTGTAACTAAACCCCCATTATTTTTGCCTAGATTAGGTGTTTTTATAAAAACAAATAAAATCTTTCAACATTGAAGTTGCTGTTTAGTGGATAGGTGAGTGTGCTGGATCTTGTGTATTGTATTATTTGGCCCCCAGCAGCACCCCCATTTATGCATGTTAAGGTGAGTGCAGCCAACCCCCTCTTGTTTAATATATATATATATATATATATATATATATATATATATATTTGGGAGTCTAGCCAACTCCTTGGTTTTGCACCCCTCCCCGTCACAGGTGCCTCATCCTAGGGCCCTATTTAGCCTTGTACTGCAGAGAGCCCCAGATGGAATTTTTTCCCCAAGTAAGTAGGTTAATCTCATAAGAGCAGACATTAGGCTGTTAGTGTCGGACCTGTCAAAGATGGGGTACATTGACGTTGTGGCAGGCTTATGCAATGTATGATCATATAATGTAACTAAACCCCCATTATTTTTGCCTAGATTAGGTGTTTTTATAAAAACAAATAAAATCTTTCAACATTGAAGTTGCTGTTTATGCATGTTAAGGTGAGTGCAGCCAACCCCCTCTTGTTTTATATATATATATATATATATATATATAACAGTGTTGGCTACCTCATCCTCCACCGCCACGGTCACCGCCTCCTCAACCTATGGGTCACTTAGTATAAACTAGGTACACATTAGCAGAGGCTTGTGAAGGCCTTTCCTCCATGCATCAGGACTGCAAGAAATGCACCGCAGGCCGCAAATGTTTCTTTATTTGTATGTCCCAATATTTTGTGGGGTACCACAATTAAAAAACAAACAAACCATAAAATACAGTGTTGACTACCTCATCCTCCTCCTCCACCACCACGGTCACCGCCTCCTCAACCTATGGGTCACTTTCTCCGTGCATCAGGAGTTAAGCTCAGTTTGAACAATGAAAGAGAATACCCTGCACTCCAACCCTCTCTCAAATGGATAATTCTGTTGATCCTCCTGACAGCCATGCTTTAGATTTTGATTTATGTTATTCCAAAGCTAAAATCAAAGATTCCATCCAGTGCTATTTTATGGCTCAGCTGTATTTTTAATTTTTATGTTATTTTAAGTGATTTCCCTATCCACATTTGTTTGCAGGGCACTTGTCCTACTCTTACCCCCATTTTACTTCCTTTTGCAGCTCTCTAGCCCTTTCCAGGAGTTTTTTAGAGGCATTTTTGTGGCCAAAAGTTCGGGTCCCCATTGACTTCAATGAGGTTCGGGGTCAAGTTCGAGCCTGAACCCGGACTTTTTTTCAAAGTTCGGTCAAACCCGCTGGACCCAAACATCCAGGTGTCCGCTCAACTCTAATACCAATACATTCTTGGGCCTTAAACAAACAGAATCTGAAGTCTTGTGATTACACACTAGTAGAGGCTGCTCAGATATGCTTTTTTCTGTATCTGTGATTTAATAGGGGTTTCAAAGAAGATGAGTAGACACCTATGCAAATAAGTAAAGGTGTTTGTGGCGTAGATATTGTGTATTGTGTATTGTGAAATGTGTATTTTTTTCTACTTTATAATTGTGTACTATGCTTAGAATTCTTAGACTCTGACCTGGCAAGCATTGACTTTGTGGTCTCCACCTGTCAGTACTAGCATAATGGTTTACTTATTATTTCCAGATCTCCTTTCCATTTCCATTCTTGCATCTTATGTTGATATTTTGATTTGTGAACATTAGAGGGAGCTGTTTGTGAGAGTTTTGAAGAAACTGAACACCTCAACGTGCCTGCATCACAGCTTATTAAAATGAATCCAAAACCTTCAATAAACTGGAATTATTATAAAGTTGTAATTGTGAGATTTAAGTATAATGATTTCACAATTTTTCTTTAATTTATTTAAACATACCTATATATCTAGAAAAAAATAGTCCACACAAGGGGCTAAGTGGCATGGTAAAGGAACCTCAACTTGGGGATAACCTACAACAATAGATAGCTCACTAAACATTGGTGGTTTTTCTTGAGTTATATCTAAATACCTATTTTATTTAAGAAGTGAAAACGCAGGCACTCTAGAAAACTTTAAATTTTATACATTTAAATCACAGTAATAAAAACTAGAAAAGCTACAATTTCTGGGGAAATTGTGTGAAGTGTACTTGCCTCCACCAGTAGTCTACAACTGGAGAGGGCGGAGTAACTGGGTGGAGTGGCTTGAGTAACTGTTGTGTGGCTGGAGTAATTGTCGAAAGGTTGCACTGGGCAGAGTAACTTTATGAAACATTGATTAGCTGTATTGTTGTAACATTGTATGTTACTGTTTTTCTGTTACAAGTATAATGAATTGACTAACATGGAAATATATTTATTAAATGTGATAGTGCTCACTTTTGTGTTATCAAAATTGTAGGAATGACAGCAGTTTAGAGAATGTGTTTCATCTAGCAGCTTCTGTGTTCCGGAACACTCTGCTGGTTGCTCACACCTGGGTTCCTATGGCAACTCACTCTACACTCTAAGAGCGGTTAAAAACAAACTGCTCCAAATTACTCACTTCACTGGCGGTTGCCATCTTCAAACAGTCGTAGTTTAATCCCTTAAGGTCACATGACATGTGTGACATGTCATGATTCCCTTTTATTCCAGAAGTTTGGTCCTTAAGGGGTTAAAAACTGTAAATCCTACAGTGATGAGCTTTATATTGTGAGAATCACAAGACCCAGTATAGTATGTCTCTGAAATATTAAAAATGAAGGCACAGTCGCAGTTTAGAAATTGCCCTTCAAATTTGAGGTGGCTAGAGTCGAGTTTCAATGAATGTCAATGGATGGCGTGAGTTGCAAACAAATGGTCATATTGTAAAAACTATCAGGACTATGGCTTAGCCGTGGACATTTTTTGTGTCAGCAGGGACATTTTGATATAAGATTGTGTAGGTGGGTTTGAAAATGAGGGAGTGGTGGCAGTTTAGAAATCATGCCCTGATTTTTCAGCTTTTGTCAGCTCCCACTCTAGTTTTGAACATTCCGCTATTCATTCCTATGGGACCAATTTCGCTGCAAAAATGACGATATTTTGTAAACCATTGGGCGAAATGTTCCACAAAGTAATAGCACACCGATCGGGAACAATCCGCACGTTTCGGTATATTACTGTCTATGTAGTGTAAAAACTGTGGGAGGAGTTAGGGTGGTAAATTTGGCTGTAATAATAAGAATAATATATATGTGAGATAATAGTAAGTGGTCTTGCCATGCAAGAACACTTAATTAAAAAGGGATACAAATAGCTAGTTTTATTATTGGCAGTGATAAACTTTGTTGTGTGATGTCACTGGTACCAGTAATGTCTCTAAAGCACATTTCAAGATAGAACATGTTTAAATAATTTTATTTGAAAATTAAAAAGATAGGAAAAAAAATCTGCATCCATATCTAATGTTATATGCGGTCTTTTTGTCCCTTAATTACAGCATTATGAAGGGGTCAGTATTGTATTTTATTAAATATTTCCAGGCTGTAATTCCCATGGTAGAGCTGTGTATAACATTTCCAAGCCATTGTAATACAGTTGGAATAAAAAATAAGAAGCTCTTAAACATTTCTTTGTTTTACCTCTGAGTTTACACTCAATAGCAGATGTCTTAAAAAAATGTCATTAATTCACATTCATTTCCAGACTGTATTGAGAACTGCTTATTGCAGTTGTACCATTGATACCTTCAAATCTAGATGCCTTATATTCAAGAGGCTCTAGGTTATTCCTTCGAAAGTCTTCGTTGTCACCAGAGAGAACAGAGTCTGTAGAAGGAATAATCTAGAGCCTACTGGATATGCAGTGGTTTTAACAATCTCCTTAGATGTCTAAAATCAGCCATGTACAAGATTGTAGCATGTTCTTTGATTTAACATTAAGAGAGGTCAAGCTACTAACATGCACAGACATCCTACAAACATATACATACAATGGTCTACCAATACTGGACACTTTACTAAGCCAACTGTAAGCTGTATATCTGTCTTGCTTCTTGTGTTAAATGTTTGGGACCACCTAGAGAAATCCGCAAAGTGCCCAGGGAGTAATGCCTAGATCTAGGTGGATGTAACATTCCTTCATAAGAATGTGTCAGCTTGGACTGGACCTCAAAGTAAAGCTTATCATTGCTATCCATGCTCTATCAGGATGTAGATGTTTTTATTCAGCACAAGTGACCACCATTAACATCGTCCGTAGCTCAATACTCTAACATAATGCTCTATTTACTCCAAACAATAATACACTAAAAGGGATTCTGTCATTAATTCACATTCATTTCCAGAATCAACATACTCCAAATACGAACATATGTCAAAATCATCCACATTGGTCCATTGGTTCAAAAGATAGATCGACGTCCTTTGTGACCACAGGAAGCATGGCTTTTCTGCCCAAAACCAGTTCCACAGAGTCTTCTATCCTGGAGATAATTGGGAAGCAATCCAATTATCTCCAAGGACAGAGGCAAAACTCCATTAAGCACATGGCAGTAAAAAGACAGTAAAATACAATAAAATACACAAGGTTACATTTATTACATAAAATACAGATATGCAACATTTCCCCAGATAGCTTAGGTCTGAGCGCACATTATTACTGAATGGCTCTCAGACCACACACATACAGTTCAATTGCCATGGAGCCAAAGTATTTTATTACACGAATAGGCTCCATGGCATAGCTATCTGGGTTAAAGGACCACTCTAGGCACCCAGACCACTTCAGCTTAATCAAGTGGTCTGGGTGCCAGGTCCTTCTAGGGTTAACCCATTTTTTCATAATTATAGCAGTTTCAGAGAAACTGCTATAATTATGAATGGGTTAAGCCTTCCCCCTAATCCTCTAGTGGCTGTCTCATTGACAGCCACTAGAGGCGCTTGCGTGCTTCTCACTGTGATTTTTCACAGTGAGAGCACGCCAGCGTCCATAGGAAAGCATTGTAAATGCTTTCCTATGCGACGGGCTGAATGCGCGCGCAGCTCTTGCCGCGCGTGCGCATTCAGCCGGCGGGGCATAACGGAGGCGGAGAGGAGGAGGAGAGCTCTCCGCCCAGCGCTGGAAAAAGGTAAGTTATTACCCCTTTCCCCTTTC